ATTGTTGTCAAATTGAATAATTTTGAATTAATTTTTACTACCTGATCAAAAAAAAAAAAGAATTAATTTATTACTAGAATATGGATCGAATAGACTTTTAATTTAGAGAAAAATCTTTGACAAGTACAAAGCATTTTAGGACACGAAAATTAGAAAGTTTGAGATTGATTGAAATGTATCGTCGACTATCGATTAATGCATTGTATCTAGTGAATTATATCATTTCATCCCCTAGTTCTTTACATGATAATGATAATTATACTAAATATGGTGATGTGAGGTAGTTATAGCGTTTTCAAGAGATGACAGTAACAGATTAACCACAAAAAAGATGGAGAAGTTGACACCAAGAGAGGCAATGTCTCCTCTTATGGATTTTCAAAGGTATTGTCACTTTTTCTGACATTGTATCAAAATTTATAAGGCAATTTATGATCGACCCACGATTTTTTAGGAGTATGAACTTTGCTTTGACACAGTGAAACATCAAATCAAGGGTCTAGATAATATTCTGAAGAGAACCTTTCAGCCCATCTACCACACAACATGGCAAATATATAATGAGCAATCTAGAATGTTATTAGTTTTTTTCTTTCAGAATCGTAGAATTTGGTTAACAATGACACTAGAAGTTTAAAAACAATTATTTTTTGTTGTTTATTCTCCGGAAGCAGACAAATATATTATGGTTTTTTCTTACAAATTTTTTTTTTGGTTGGTTCTTATGAAAATTTGACTAATGCATATTTTTTGATCAAATTCTAACCACCGACTCTGACAAAGTTAGGGCGAGGAAAGACTTATAAGCACACACACACCTAAAGCTATCCGATATGGGATAGCTCAGTCCCCAGCACCCCCACGTGATTACCATTACGCCTGGCCACTGATTAATGCATATTTGACTGAGACACTTTACTAACCCTTGGCTTTGATCATTGACTAATTTTAAATGAGTAATACTACTTAAATTTAATTTATTGATTTAATTATTCTAAGAATTGGATTGACGATGAATTTTAATATTTAATGAGAATCATAATTATGATAGATTAAGTAAACAAACTATGTTAATAAATTAAGTTTAACTAATATTAATGATGCACAAAGTTGATTATGTACAATCAAATCAATCGAGTGTGTAGTAATGAAACAATTAATAATAAAAGACATAGAGTAGATAGTTGGGTTTGAGTGACCTAACCACTGAATGCGGCAATGGTGACTGGAGAACTCTATTAATGATAAAATACAAGATAGTAGGAGAGAGAGAGAACAAGAGTACGCTCAAGATGAAGTATGTGAAATCTACCTCATGTGTAAGAATTTTATAATTTATAAGCATAGAGCCCTAACTGAAAGAGGTGACATAAAAGTTAAGTTACTAATTTATCAGGAAGGATATATAATTAGGGATGAGTACTATCTTAGAGTAATAGTTTTTTTAATGATTGCTCTTTTATAAGCATCGACTCTTTTTGAACTCTTAGATTTTAGATTAGGCTGAAATCATAAGTTAAACCTAACCTATATTTTGATGATTTGAATTTTATCTATGAACCGAGCCAAACATAATTAAATCTAGGCTTGTCATATATTATTAATTTAAAATTCTATGGCCGCTTGATCCTTCGCCCCATATTTACATACCATGATTTGATAGTATGTGGTCCCTATGATGTACTTGGAACGTGAGCTGTACTGTGCTTGGGTTTCAAACCAATCATTTACCAACCATGTGGTATGTTTATCTTTGTAATTTAAAAAATTAAAAGGACTCTCTTGCCATTTTTGTAAAATGCACAAAGGCAATGCAAAATTCTTGTACTACAAAATTAGGCACTCATTTCAAAAGTTTGATTTTCCTCGATGGGTATGGTGCAAGTTGTACCCCCTCAATTACTTCAAATTTTAGGAATATTTCTTAATTTTGCATTTATTTATTCTTTCTTTTTGTGAGTTGAAATAAATAAACTCTTAAACATGTCTAAAATCTTATTTCATTTTTTCAACTGAACTTTTGTAAGAATAACATCGCATGAATAGCCAAACCGAAAGCTTTGGCTCGAAACGATGTTAGATACGAGAATAGTCACCAAAACTCGAATTCTTAATTTTATTCTTTTCTAACCCTGTCTGTGGAAGTGAGCTGTGATCTTTGGACCCCCCCTTAGTGGGATTGTGATCTTATGCTAATCAAGTTGGTTGGTTCTTGGTTTTAGAGGTTAAGGCCAAAAGGGCAAAGGAGAGAGAGAGAGAGAGTATAAACTTATCTTTGATTAGTTCTGGGGATTAACAAGTTCTTAATTTGTCATAGTAACTTTGATTCGTTCTTTCGATATTGATTCTTAAACTCATGGAACCACTTATTTAAAAGAAAATTAAAAAGAGAAAGGGATAGACTCTTTAATCTGGGATAGGATTCTGCATAATCATGTCCTAAAAGTATTGGCATGAGTTTTTAAATTTTTATGTGGGAGAGTGAAGGGACATCTATATATAAGGAAAGGAATTTCTTCTTAGAAATCTTTGAATAAGAATAATGTTTTTAAGACATAATAAACTAATTAACTTAGAACAATATTATAAAACTCAAAACAAATACAAAAAGTTGCAATCCAAATGTATATAATCTTTTGAATGAGTGGATCCCATCAAATTTTTCAGTAGGATCCACTCATCTAATAAATGATATGTATTTGAATTTTAAGTTTTAAATTTTATTTGAATTATCTAACATTTTTCATTAACATAACATCTTAAAATAGTGATGTGCCTTGTAACGTGGTTCGACAGCTATTTTCATAATTAGACATTTTATTCAGCTGGTATCACTTGACATAATGGCATGGTAATATGTCAATTTGTTACGTCTTAATAACATCACTCTAAAATTAAACAAATAGAAAAAGACACAAAGGTCTTGTCGAAGGCACAATTACACTGATTTGCACTTAGAATTACACCAGATGAGTTTTGTTCTTTCGTTACTATTCAATTGAGACTTATTTCTGTCGGTGGCTTCTAACTTGTTTTTTTTTAATGTATCGTTGTTCATATGAAATTAGGGATATTCTGTGTATAAAGATACGGTACAATGTGAAAGATTTTAAAAGTGATATTAATGGCCATTGGATAAGTCTATTTAAAACTGTCGGATAAATTTATTAAAATTTATCATATTTTATATTATAAATTGTTAATTAACTAATGCTTTTCATATAAAAAGTGTTTGAAAAATATATGCTTTTCAGGTAAAATCTTTGAAACCGCATTTTTACAACTTTGTTCTTATATTGAAAATTCTATGTTTAACACTTGCTTTTTATGGAAATAAGGGCTTGTTTGTTTGAAGTATAAGATTTAAGTGGTATAAGATTTTATATTCATTTTAGTTCGATTCAATAATATATTATACCCGGTCTTAAACTATAATCTCATATTTCCTTTGTTTGTTTGTCACAAATAATGTCTACTTAAAAAAGTCAAAAATTGCAACTGGCTTTTATACGGGGTATTGTACATGAGGGCATTTGGGTCTTTTTACTCTATTATACCTCCATAAAATTTATACAAAGAATATTATACCACCAGGTAAGTGGTATTACTTAGCATCGTATACAAGGCATAAGAGTTACTATTCACACCGGATTACTACTATGACCCAAAAATTAATACTGATTAAAAAATGTCAAATAAACAAGATATAAAATAGACCACATGTATTATTTTTCTTATACCACCATTTTACCTCAAACAAACAGGCACTAATAGTATTATGAGAAATAAGTTTGAAAGTAAAGAAAATAAAGTTCAAAAAACACAAACTTTTTCTGAAGGAACATTGAAATAAAACAGTTAGGATATGATATCAAAAAAAAAAATTATTTTTAGTTTCACACATTTATATTTTATCCAACCCCAAAACACATGGTGAATTTTATTTTAGGGTGAATTATATTAAAGGTCCTCAAAGTATAAAGTTTGTCTCATTTTGATCTCAAATATTTCAATTAAATTATTTTTGTCTTTGAAGTATTAAATATGTTTTTATATGATCCCTCAAATAGACAGCGCGCAGATTGCTACTAATTTTTTATTATAAACATGTCATATAATACCTAAATATGAACAAAAAAATAATTTATATAATTTTTGACCAAATTTTTACTTAAATTTTAGTTAAAGAGCTACCCATATTACACATTTTTAATTATAAATTATCCAAATTTTGGTCAAAAGCTACTCATATTACACTTTTTTTTGTCTAGAGCTACCCAAATTTTGATGAAGAAGTATTCAAATTATTTTTTGTCCATATTTAAGTATTATATGATGAGCTTATGATCAAACAATATTAACAGTTTAAACGTTGCCTGATTGAAGGATCATATAAAAATATATTTAATATTTCAAAAACCAAAAATAATACAATTAAAATATTGATAACTAAAATAAAACAAATCTTAGATTTTGCAGGCGTCTAATACAATTAACTCTTTATTTTATTATTTTTAAGATTAATTACTGCAAATAATTTAAATCAACATTAAAGTTTCGACGTCATAACCTTGTCTCTCCGCCCCCCGCAAAAAGAAAAAAAAATTCCTTGCTTGCGTACCTTGAAAAGTAACAAGTTCTCATCTACAATTTGCCATTTTATAATAACTTTCACATGATTGTTGTGCGACCAATCCCCCGGCTCCATGCTTCAGTAACTAACCTCTGTCCTCATTTGTCTCCTTTCCGCTTCTGCCCAGACACACAGCACAGCCCACCCCAGAGAGAGAGAGAGAGAGAGAGAGAGAGAGAGAGAGAGAGAGGCACAAAAAATTCAAGTCCAAGAGTTTAGAAGATCCAAAACATTCAAGCCTACGTCCATGGCCTTCAGATTTTCTTCTCTGTCTCTATTAGGCCAAACCTTAAACTTCTGTATCTTTATGTCTTCTTAACATAGACAGAAGAAGGCAGAGAGAAGGAGAACCAAAAGAAAATGAAGAATTTTCTTCTAATGTTTGTGCTTCTTTTTCATGGACCCATTTGGTTTTTTCACTTACATTTTCTTGATGCCAGAGCTGACCCTCCTCTTCCTTCCCTTTGTGCTCCTGTTTTTTCACCATCAGCTCCACCCATTTCTCCAATTTCTGCGTCAATGGCAGCCTTCTCACCAGGTATTCACTACATCTCTCTCTCTCTCTAACTCTCAATACCCTTGTAAGGTTTTCAAAATTTGTTCATTACATTGTTCGACACTTGGGAATTATACATGGGTGTTGAGGTTTGATTAAATCCCACTGACAACTGTTTTCTGGATTCTGTTCATCAGGGTCTGCATCTTCTCAAATTTGAAATTTCAAAAAATGGAGACAGTCAGGCCCATCCTATTCATGACATATAATGCAAGAAATATAATAAATTAAATTTCTTGATAACCATTTATAAGTATGTTATAATTGATATTCTTTTCTCTCGTCTTGAATCTCCTTGCTAGCTGGTTCCAAATTTATATTCTCGGATCACCAAAATTTTCCATATCTTCTTGTTTTATTATTGTGATTCTTGCCAATTTGTCAGACAAACTGACTATATTGATGAATATTTTCTTCTATAAATTTCTTATGTAATCAGGGATTCAACTGGGAAGTGAAAAGCATCACATGGATTCAAACAAGAAATTTCTTATAGCACTCATTGTTGCTTCCACTGCACTTGGAGCAATCATCTTGTCTTTGTTTTGTTTCTGGATTTATCATAGAAAGAACTTCCTCAAATCCAAGAACAGTGATCATAGCTCAGGTATTTTTTTTTTTTGTTTGCCACAATATTTTCGATTGCTCATTAAAAATTGGTGGGTATTTGTAGATATTTGAATAAGTTATGCGTTTTCTTGTAGTTTCTCAGAGAGTCTTTGTTTTGTACTGTTTTGAATTGATTTTCTTTTGTGTGGTTTATTTTTGAAGATGCTGTGAAAGGGCTTTCATTGCGTCCATTTATGGGAAAATATAGTTCATTGAGGACTTCTTGTAAAAAGGGATCTGTAACTTTAATGGATTACAAGTTACTAGAAACGGCAACAAACAATTTTAGGGAAAGTGATATTTTGGGTGAGGGTGGATTTGGATGTGTGTACAAAGCTAGATTGGATGACAACATCCAGGTAGCTGTGAAGAGGCTTGATGATGGAAGCCAGGATGCCATAAAGGAGTTTGAGGTAAATTTGATGATGACACTGGTTTTTATATACATTTTTTGCTTTGTGATCTCTTGTATTGACCTTGTTGTTTTGTTCTTGAACTGGCAATTGGGATTGCAGACAGAAGTGGATTTGTTGAGTAAAATTCAGCATCCGAATATAATTTCCCTGCTGGGGTATTGCATTAACGGGGAAAAAAGGCTTCTTGTTTATGAATTGATGCAGAATAGATCTCTGGAAACTCAATTGCATGGTAAAATGGTTCAGAACTTCTTTGATTTTAAAATAAACAAGATGCAATATGAGGAAAATGAAAGTACATACTATCATTTTGTTTTGTGTACTTTCAATGTCTTTAGGACCTTCTCGTGGATCAGCGTTAACTTGGCATCTTCGGATGAAAATTGCTCTTGATACAGCAAGGTAAATTTGTTAAACACCACCATGTGGATTATTAAGTTTCACTGCAGATGTTATTAATATATTTGAAACTGTTTGACCAGAGGATTAGAATATTTGCATGAGCACTGCAACCCAACAGTGATCCATAGAGATCTGAAATCATCTAATATTCTTCTAGATTCCAGCTTCAATGCCAAGGTGAAAATATATAAATTTAGTCTGTGATCTGGACTTGAAAATTATTGGTCTTCTGATGCATTATTGCTGGCTTATATCTCAGTTATATTCCATTGAAATTTTCACTAAACCTCTCTATTTTGCACTCTTTGCTTTGTTTGGATTCAGCTTTCGGATTTTGGTCTTGCCGTAACTGATGGATCTCAGAACAAAAACAACATCAAACTTTCAGGAACCCTTGGTTATGTAGCCCCAGAGTACCTCTTAGACGGTATACCAACTAATCTTCTAAACCTTTGTTACACATAGAAAATTGAATTTCCAGTATACATAAATGGTTTATTATGGTCCTTCTATAATCTACAGATACTTGGGTGTTGTATAAATCATGCCAAGGAATATGCCAGACTTCAGAAGTAAACTAGTAATATAAAACTAGTGAACCATAAAATTTATTACTTCGTAGTACATAGATGCACATGTGCTGTCACTGTATAGCATTGGGGATAATCATTTTAGATTAAAAACCAATTATGTATAAAGTTGGTTTTATGGGATGGCTAACAGCTATGATAGATACATCATTCTTAAGCGTTTCTCAATTTTGGTCATTAATTAGATGCCAGCGATGAGAAAATTTTTGAACTATATATGTATAGAGATTAAGTTCAATTTATGTTCTTGTAATTTCATATGGAACAAGTACTTGATCGTAGTATGTTATGTCGTCTTGTCTCCGCTGCATCGAAGCACTATATTCTGGTTCATTGATAAGGAAGACAGAGTTGGGGTGTAGGTCTACGATGTGATACTAAAGTATGACGCAGAAAGATACATGCTAACTATGGGTAGGAAGCAGGAACCTTCATGTAAATAATTTCGGAGGTTATAGATCTCTCATACTCTACCGTTGATCGACAGAACGGAACGACCAGAAAATGAAATAAAGTTAGAGAGCTGTATGATATGTGATAACTATCTTATACGGTTCGGGGGGTAATTGGTGTACTCCAATCAGTGGGGAGAAATCTTTGGGTTATTCTTCAGTTATAGTTTGAAAAAAATCAAGTCCACTTTGGTGATCACTCACTCATGTGCAATTGGGGCCTTGCTGAATACACTTGATCATAAAAAATGTTAGATATCACAGATTTTTGCTGCATATTCTTTATCAAGGATATTTTGCTTGTCTTTCCAGTAAACAAGTGAACCTACAGCTAGACTATTGCAAAAATTGTTGTTTTTTATTTTTTTCTCTTGAGAAGGTAAAGTCAATCTCATTGCCATTTTGTATTTTTCAATTTCCTGTCCATTAACTCTTTTTTTTTTTTTTCATCTCAATATCCTGTGAAATCTTTTCATTGTCACAGTGTATCAGATCAAATCAAATTTCAGGCATTTGTTAGCTTAGTGTATCCTCATTTTTCTGCTAACAAATGAGCACTCTGTTTTTGATCTTTCTCCAGGTACATTAACGGATAAAAGTGACGTCTATGCTTTTGGCGTTGTGCTTTTAGAGCTTTTACTGGGAAGAAAACCTGTGGAGAAAATGGCACCAGCTCAATGCCAGTCTATTGTCACATGGGTATGCCTTGCTCTAAACCCCCCTCAAAATTAATTCATATTGGCATGAATCCCAATGGGGTTTTGAATTTTGAATCCCAATCTTTTTGTTTTTATAAAGTGCAGGCCATGCCTCAGCTCATAGATAGATCAAAGCTTCCGACTATTGTCGATCCTGTGATTGGAAATACAATGGATTTGAAGCACTTATACCAAGTATGTGAACAGAAGAGAACAGTACTTCATATAGTATTTTCACTCCTTACTGGTGCAACATGAGTTCAGCAGAATCTAATTGTTAATCTCATTCTTAAACATGTTTGTCGTCCGTATCCAGGCGATTATTAAGATTTTTCTTACTAACCGGGTCTCAAGTTTTCGGTTCAGTTCTCACTGAATAACAAATGTTCTCTTCACAGGTTTTGGGTTTGACATAAATAGAACTGCATTCTATAGAATTGAGTGAAGGTTTGAGTGGAATTCTTCTAAAACTTGGATTGCTATGGTTTGAGTGCTGACCCGCCCAACCTAACTAAGAAAAACCGAACCTGACAAACACATCTTTTAGGTACTCCGAGTAGTGGGTACCTTGTAGGACCTCGACTCGCCTACTCGGGTCTTGTATGGATATGTAGGAAAGGGTGCTCCTAGGTATGTGGAGGGGTTGTGTTTGTTCACGAGAATGGAATCCTGGTTAGCTTGGTTTGAGGCAGATTTCTGGTTGTTTTCTGGCTTTAAACTTCCCAGCCCAAACTGAGTAGCTCCAAAATCGAACTCTTTGTTTATAATGTTCAAGACAGTTGCAATATATTTTTTGCAGGTTGCTGCTGTAGCTGTACTATGCGTGCAACCAGAACCAAGCTACCGTCCATTGATAACAGACGTATTGCATTCTCTTATACCCCTTGTTCCTGTTGAGCTCGGTGGAACTCTCAGAGTGACGCAACATTTGCTCTCCGTGGCCACAGTGCCGTCCAATAGTTGATTCTATCAACATAAGTTAACATTGCTGACCTGCTACACTTTTTTGGTCTGTCCATGCTTGGATCACATTCTATACAAATACCATTTCTGTGCTTCCTCGGACTTGATTGATTATTTCTTCGGGTAGTCAATCACTTTGGTTGCGTGGGTCAAGGGATGCTGGCATCGGTAGGGTGGAAGACTAATCACCCTCATAAACTGAAGCAAATGACAGGTGATTTTTCCGGAGATTTAGTTGTGTATATAAAGGTCAGTGAGACAAACACTGGGCTAATTTGCCAGCATAAGTTTCCTTTATGTCATCGTTCTTCAGCTAATGAATAAACTATAAAGGGAACACCCTCAGTTTCAGCTCAGCTGCCACAAGAATTTTGCAGCACAAACATGTTTTAAAGTTGATTTCAAATTCTTGCAGCCTTGCAAACTTGCCTCTTACTGTTAACAGAGGAGAAAATCTTCTTAACATTGGGAAATAAGCCCCCCTGCAATTCAATTATTTGTAGGATACTACTGTTGCCGCTGCCGCAGCCACGGCCAGCCACAATGGCTATTGTAACAGGCCTCAGACGCAATCCTTAAGGATTATGCAGTCATTCAGTTACTGTACAGTATTGCAGAGCCTCTGGTAACAGTAGTCTGGTGTGTTCATGGGAAAGAATGTCAGGAATCAGTCTTTTCAAAACAGGAGTAAGATTGTTGACCACTTGTCTCTTTCAGATCCCACTATAGACGGAAGATCATAGTCTTGCGGTTGATTTTGGTTATGGATGGTATTGTTATGGGAGTGACAGGGAGGCCATAGGTCTATCATTGTATAATACTCCTAAGTAAACACTCTATCTAATGAGCACTCTTCACGTTAGACATCAAGACTCCCACTTGAGCCTAAATCACCACTCACATTAGACATCAAGACTTCCACTTGAGTCTAAATCACCACTCTTGACAAGCCAGGGATGCCCACTGCTATTCACGAGTCACTACATCACCACTCCAGTGGACTACACTATGCCTGTGTTCTGTTTCATCGAGAGGCCTCTGTGCACTACTATAACCCAAATAACCCACATTGCTCTACCTTGCAGATTACATACATCAGCAAGGATGTTCAACAATTAGGGACACTATGCAGAATGTTGAGAAGCTCCAAACAATTTTGACCTCAGATTTGCAAAACGTTGGAACAGGCTTATATGCACTAATCTCATGCTCAGTTCAAGATAACTATGACCTCAGATCAACCCATAGGGCAATGTGACTTTGAAAATAGCTCAAGCAATAACCTTTTATAAAAGTATGGCCCAAAAAGAGACCAGAGAATCGGTGGTGCCCTAAAAGCCCAAACCTCACATTTGTAATTTAGCAACTCAAATTCATCCTAACCCTACCTAGAGTACAAGAAGCTAATTGCAAGTAGTCTTTACCGTTCTGTATCTAAATATGTAGCAAAAATGAGACTTTCTATGGATCTTTAAAGAACAAAAATATATGTCTACAAATTGCCCCATACAGATCTCAGACAGGTCTTCAAACTCCAATTTTTTACAGAGTCAGGATACATTATTCCAAACATTTCCGTATAAAGTTATCTCAAAAACGAATTAACAGACTCACCAAATGTTTTCCAATGTTTGCCTTCTCTAGCTGACATTGTGGTATGAGTCAATGATGGCATCTGCAAGATATTCACACTTGGCTGAAGATAATCCAGCCAAAGATATTCTTCCATCCTTTGTCATGTACACATGCCACTTGTTTGTCATGTTGCCACTCTGATTAGGAAAGATGACGGGAAAATATCAGGGAAGATGAGAGAATCCAAGAAAGTGGACATGCACTGTGGATTGCAGCAGTGTGATAACATATAAAATCACCACATGTATTGATCTAGTACATCAATACATGTTTCTTCCCCATTCCAATCTTTTCTAACTTTGCTACTTCTTCCTTTTCAACATATATATTGTTCATTCTGGAAACACTCCCTCTGTTACATCTTTTCTTGAATCTTCTTTAGCGGGAATGAGAAGGAATACAAAAACCTAGTTCACTCACCTTTCTAATTTAACAAATGGTAACTGATTCCATATATAAGTGCACATCCATGGGCGGATGTATGTGCCCACCCTCAATTTTTTTTTCCTAATTATATATATAATTTAGCTACATTTTTAGATATAATAAGTTGTGTTCACCCTCAAAATTGGCCTTGATTTGTATATCTGTGAGTTATTTTGGTTCAAAATTTGTAATTCAAAATTTAAATTGTTTGTAATTGGCCTATAATTAATCTCTAATTTTCGAAGATTAATGATTGACTTGTTTCAATTGAATTCTAAAGGTATTATTACGCTTACTTCTTGAATTCTTATTTAATAACTTTGCAATTTTGATATAAAATATATAACACGCAAAGGTCAATTTTCTAAGATCAATGAGAACAAGCTTGAGACAAATCTATTGTTCAAATCGACTCTCAATTGAAAATATAATTTATCTATTATATTTCTATATATGTATGACTTAGACTATAATTTGCAGTTGACTTCAATATAATCATTTGATAAAAAGTAATATTATTTGGTAGTGACCTTTTTTATTTGTATTTAGAATTTTTTTTGATGTTTCGCTTTTTATGAAATCTTTTTCATGGACGGTTTGGATTTTAATGGGGTTTAGATTTGTGATCTACACTACTTTATTAACATACATAAAATTATAATCATCTTTGTGAAAGCCTAAAGTCATGAATCACTTCGTGTTATAGAGCCAGGCCTAGTTAAAGTGTCCACCTTTAAACTAATTTCTGGCACTGCACCTGCGCACATCAAATTGTAATTCAGAAATTTTGGACTAGTTTGTGCCGGACCTAAGTTAAGTACTTTAGCAGTAACCATGGGTAAGGTAGATTTAGAAACAAAAACCAGAAAAATCATCAGGCATGATTACTAGGTGGATTTCCTTTTTTTTTTTTTTCCTTTTTTCGTGGGGGTGGGTTTTGGTGGGAACTTTCAAGGATAAATCTGGGCAGAGAAATGTGATTGCGCAATACCATCAAAGTCAAAATAAAGAAAAAGAAAATATGTCCTTGTTCTGAAAGTAGTTTGACAGTTCATAGTTTTTAACATTCAGAATATCTCTGACAAATTCCTAAATTAGAATTAAGTGATAAGTTCCGGAACCAATGTATAATCAATATATTGCATTAAACGTGCCTAGTGAAAAAATCAAGATGCTGCAAACTAATGGAAACCATTTTTAAGCATATTGTTAAGGAGATAACATTAGAATTCGAGAGGGGCTTTACCTGAGCTTTGCTCAGGCCTGTAAAAGAGAACATGCCAATTTGCTTGAGAATAAATGACCAGTCCTTCCCACTGTTATCCTTTGCACAGAGGCTGTCATATAGTTTGTGCCTCACACTCTTTATCCTTCCAGCCATCAAGCCCATCTCCTCTTTCCATTCTTTGAAGAGAGCTGGATCCCCAACAACATTGGCAACAATCCTAGCACCATGGATAGGAGGGTTCGAGTGCATTGGCCGAGCAAGCCTTTTCAGTTGGCTCTTTACCCTGCAAATTAGAAAAAAATTGTATAAGTTCCACAAGATCTGCAAATAATATAATGAGTCGCCTCCAACTACCACAATCCAGCCACTGCATGTGAGACTCCAGAGGAACTGAAGTTTCACACCCACAGCCTACTGTAGTTCAAGAAAAGAAATTTCTGTAGATTATGTGTTGAAAGTTCCAATAGCACGCGTGTCCTGTCATGCCCAACACCAGTTTTGTACACTTTATATTAACAGCATTCTACCACCAACAAAAAATAAAGACAAGTATACAATATACTTCTGATTTTGGAGTATTTGCAAAATCTAAGAAGTATAGACATGGACACGGACATAGACACGGGACATGGATGCAATACGACACGGATATCTAGTTACGACATTTCTCAAAAAAGTAGGACACAGACACATTTAGGACATGTTACAAATAATTGTGTTTTCTATATAAAATAATATAATTTATCACAAATATAGTGATAATGATATATTATTCATAAAAAATTTAGTATTTTATGATAAATAAATGTTATCTCTAGTCATTTAATGTAAATATATAGACTAACATCGTAATAATCAATAATTATCAATTTTCTCATAGACATATACTATACATACATGATTTAAATGATTGCTCTCATCTCTATTGCTTTTTTCTAAATCTTTTATGTATCTTTTGTTTTTGTTAATATATTTTGAGTACAATTCAAGTATGTTTAGTACTGATAGTTATATATTCTCTCATAGTATAAGATACTTAATAGTTAAATTTTTAAGCTTGTTAATTACATGTCAACACATGTTTATTGTTTAGTAGTAAAACACGTTTTAAAGAAGTGTTACACACATCACTAAAGAAGTGTCGGACACATGTCCAAAATTAAAATTGTTAGAGCTCTTAGTTTTTATATCAAACATAAGTTAATTAGTCTAGGGTAATATTGTAATTACAATCATATTGTAATTACAATCATATTGTTTAGTTATAAATAGAGAGTGTGGGGCAATACATTGATTATTCTCTCATTACTACTCTCCCCATCTCTTCATCTCTTCTAATCCTAACTCTAATGCTACAACTATTATTTCAATTAAAATTTTTTCATTTAATTATTGACACATAAACGAGGATCAGACGCGTGTCCAAGAGCCTCGGTGTCCGACACGAACACGTCACCTTCTTGAGAGTGTCCATGCTTCATAGTGCAAAATGCATAACCAACTTTTGGATAGTTATTCTCTTCCGGTCTTTATGTTCACCCAAGATGTTCATTCCCACATATCAGAAAGCAAACTAGGCATAACAATTTTTACTTACAGATCTTGGAGAATGGAATGTGTCAAGGATGAATAAATGGTGTGTTATTCATAGAAACAGAAAAAAACAATGGAACTTTTCTTGAAAAGTGGTTAATGTTAGGGTATCTAACCCAAAATCAATTGACAATGGGAGAAGTAACCCCTCAAGTATTAATAAACCTACCTTAGGTGGTCCTAACTATTCACTGGGGGATATTCATTTTACACTCTCCCTCATGTGGGACCCGGGCTTACTCATGGGGCAAACAAACAAACAACCATGCATATCGAAAAATTCAAATGGGTACGAGACTTGTCCTGCTGACCACCTAGGACAAGTAATATAATTGATGAGTAGAGTAGCCCATCAATTATATATACCAACATTGAGTGGTCCAAATTATTTGATGTTGAATACAAGCTCTCTTTCTGTTACTTCTGTACCACTTGTAGTAATCACGGATCTTAAGCATTATCAACAAAATCAGAGGCTAGAATATATATGAGAATGGGATATTGGTCCACTATACCTTGCTGCTGCATCTGTTGATGAGCAGACAACATTGATTGCTCCAATCCTTTCTGCATAAAGACCCAAATTTTTACTGTATGACTGAGCAACCAGAAGCTCCATGCCACGTGCAGCAAACAACCTCACAGATGATGCATCTTCATCCAGGCTTCCACTTGCAAATCCCTATAACACAATATGGAGTTCAGAAATCAATAAATTATTGATAATATCCTATCGACATTAGTATATGGAATCCGTCATGATCTCTGATCAACTTTGAACTGATTTTCACGAAATCATAAAACTGCAATATGTGTAATATGTTTCCTCAACTTCTTAAGAATTCCTTGACAAAATTTCACTATACCCTTTAATATTTGAAGATTACTGAAATCCAAATCACTGAAACATAATTCAGATACTTAATTTCAAGTGACAAAAACTTTTTAAAACTACATCACAATACCTGGTAAGCAACGTCAAAAAAAGGAATGTGGTTCTTCTCTTGAATCACATCAGCAATTTTTTCCCACTGTTCAGGGGTTGGATCAATGCCAGTTGGGTTGTGTGCACAGCCACGAAGCAAAACAAAAGATCCTTCGGGGGCCGCGTGTAAACGAAGTATTTCATTAATATAACTAAAAGAAAGATTTAAGACGGGAAATTTTAAAAGAATACAAATGCATATAAGAAACACTTATGAGTTACCCTGGATTTTTTTGAATTAGGCATAAAAAGCTCAATTTTTGTGCCAGAAAAATGCATTTTGGAAAAAATGTTAAAAGAGACTAATGCTGTGAATAAATAGGTCAGTAGGCACTGGAAGATTAAAAATGGGAATGATGTATAGGTGATAAATGGTACAATTGGAACTCTCCATCAAGCTGATCAATAAAATACATAATAACAAGGGAGAGGGTGAAAAGAAGGGACTTGTTTAGACAACCAAAAATAAAAAATAAAAAAAGAAAAAGGTGAAATCATTACAAGTTTAGAACAAATGATCAAGAACTAGAAGATGCATTTTAAATATGGGCATTCATTTTATTCTTTTGCTTAATTCAACTATGGTAAACCAAAACTCCAACATGCAACAATGTTCTTTGTAAATGGAATTTTTGAAATAAATTTCAATGTTGCGCACTAAAAAATGAAAGCAACAAAGAGTGACATCAACATTACCTTTATGTCTGATATCATCCCATCAAAATCCAAACCAACTGTTTTTGGGTCATAGTAATGATATTTAGACCAAGGAACTCTAGCATCATTGAAAATATTCTTGTGGTTACCTGTTGGAGATATTATGATCTTTTAGGCGTCGAGTAATGCTAGGTAAACTTAAAAATTAGACTTAAAAAGTAGACTTGATAATCACAACCATTGAATAGGTAGTGGGTCCCAATAAATGTTGGCACCCACAGTAAAATCAATGGTTATAATGATCAAGTCTACTTTTTAAGTCCACGTTGCATTGCTCTTTAATTGTCACTGCAAGTTAAACAGACCTCCCAAACAAGTTCAACTGAGTAATAGTACACACCCCAAGTTGGAGATGATATCACAACTTGTGCCCCAGGAAAGTATCGCTCTAGAAGTGCTGCAGCAAGTCGAAGAGAACCAGTTCCTGAAAGACCTTGGACAGTTGCAACCTGAATGGTAAGAAAAGTAATAATTAGACTTAAAAAAAGCTACTTTGATTGATATCATAGTTGTTAGTATCGTACAATACGCGATACGTATCGTACGATACGCTACGATACAAGCCTAAAACGATACGGATCGTAGTTATGTATCGTTTTTACGTCGTATCGTCTGATACACGATACGTTTTTACGATACGCACGATACGTGCAATTTTTTTTTTTTTTAGAAACGACGTTTTGTGCCAAAAATTTAATTTTTTTAATCCCTATAACCACTGAAACGACGTCGTTTCAGTGGCTAGGGTTACAAAAAAAAATAAAATCTCTCATTTCTCTTCTTTATCGTTCACTCATCGCTGGTCAGAGGTCTCTGGGTCTTCGACTGTGGGTTCTTCAGCCTCCGACGACCGTGGGTTCTTCAGCCTCCTTCGACTGGGGGTTCTTCGACTGTGGGTTTCATCAAAGCTGCCTTCTTCCTTCTCCAGGTACTCCATTGAAGCTCTCTGGTGTTTGAAGTTTGAATTAGTGAACTATGGTTGTGAACTTTACATTATAATAGCAATGGATTATGTTGATGACTTGAATAGTTGGTTGAGTATTAATGAAATACTATATTTTTATGAGTGTATGACTTTTTTTCAAAGGTATTTATATTTTATTATTATTTATTTAAAATTGCACCGTATCTTACGATACACGATACGATACAATATTTGTATCTTACGATACGCCTTCCGATACACGATTTGATAACTATGATTGATATTACAAAGATATGATATGACACCTATATACTATCGCAGAAATCCCAAAGATTCATACTCTTTGTTGCTGAATCACTGGGTTGCCTGCTCCAAACAATAATTCTGCTGTAACTTTGTTGAATGCAGCCAAACCCTCAATTGGAAGATACTACAGATTGTGGTACGGAAGGTGGTAAGAAATTGTTCAATCAAACAATGCAAAGTCAATATATTTGATTCAGGAATACATGATACCTCTTTGTTTTCTGCCCTCTCCAGCATAAGATTCTCTGCCTATAGTGGAAAATTTCAAGTAAACCATGAATGTCGACCACATTTAATTGTCAAAAAACAAAATCACCGCTTGCCTCACTAGTAAAATAAAAAATCAGTGTATTCTACCTATCTTCTTTTTTGAAAGAAGAATATATGACAACAATCTTAAATGACTAATTGTTCATGAACAGGAGGAAAGAGTTACCTTCTTTACAACATTAAGGACATAAGGTTGAAGTTCTTCTGTGCGATAGGCTCCGACACCAAGGTTGAGCTTCATTTCATGTGTGTCTGCTTTGAATGCTTCAGAAACTCCAAGGATTGGGTCAGGAGGAGCCATTGTTATATTCTCAAATCGAGAAACATTTACAGCAACGGCCATAGTTATTCGACCAAAAGACTGCAAATATGAAATAGCTAAAATTAAGACCTGTAGAGTAACCACATCAAATCTCCGCACTATCATCACCCTAATCTTCCTAAACCCTAAAATGGATCAGAATCGCACAATTAAATGAAAACAGAGATATTATGGGCTTCTTCTTGACACTTTTGGGTCCATACGATGTTCAATGGCGTGCTTCAGATGTCTGTCTAATACTGACTATGGCATACAATGTCCCGACCGCTGTGCATTAAGTACACAAATATCACAGAAGCAACTAACCGTTTTTTTTGGTAAGTCATAAGCAACTAAATTATGTACAAAAAATCCAAAAAAATTATTATTCAAGAATTAAACCCACTAAATGAGCCTCTAAATTTCAAAACAAAATTCAATTTTTTCCGGCAGGAGGGAGTTTAGAAAACCACAAAAAAGTGCATTGACCAGAATTTGATTTACAAGTCTACGAATATAAGATGGCATATCTAAAATCTAAAAAAGAAAAAGAAGAGTGAATACCTTTGTCTTCCCCAAGAGAGGTCTTTTCCCTTCCCAACAAAACTAGTATGATTACAGCCGCCAAGCTTCAGTTTTGCCTGCTCAAATTAAATCCACAACACGGTGTCTTGTAATTAACATATAATTTACCAAGTTTCCACAGATCATAAACACACACACAAACATTGAAGATAAATGGTACCTTGAAATTATCTTGCAAGGACAATGAAGGCGATGTAGGGGCAGAGGCCAGAGAGAGCATTATTTCGAAGCCATCTGGATCATATGAAAAATGATAACTATCACATCAAATTGAATCGATAGGCTAGTGAGCTTATAATTGAAACACATCAAGCAATAATCATCGTGATCCTTCACTGATTGACGTCGAATTGGTACCGCACAGCGAAGTACTGAATCTGAAATTCTCTGTATTCATCTAAAAGGCAAATCCACCCACACAACACACACAAGTACTCAGGCGTTTACATACAATAATGTATGCAATATTCAAACTGTACCCCGGAATAGTTGAATTTCTAACTATTTCCAATCTCTCAGAAAACACAACGCAGAGACAGAGAGCTTGAGCTTGCCTTTCAGCTTCCGACGAAGACGAAGGAATAGAGAGCAATTTGGATTTGGACGGAAGAGGAGAGAGAAAAGAAGGAGTGAGGCGATAAAATCAAAGGGGAATGCCTCGGGTGTTTATTGATTGTAGTCCAACTATAGTGGCTTTTTGAAGGTGAACCACCCACTTCGATGAGTTTCTCACAAGTTAATGTTGGAATCACTCATCGAGGGTGAATTATATACTCTTCGACTCAAAAGAGTTTAGTTTTTTTATTGGGTAAATTTTAGGCATGACCTACATTTATGTCATATTTCATTAACACCTTTTTAATTTTTGAAATATCATCATACACCCTCATAATTTATATATGCGATGAGAAACCATTTTTACCGTCTATTTCGTTCTTGACATAAAAACTTGTGATGTGATGGTTAATTATCTTATGATTTACGTATTTTACCCTTAATTCTATATATACATCAAGAGTGAAGTAATATGATGTCATTTTATTCACTCTTCCTATTTAAAATAATAGACATTTTTTACTATTTTAATTACCATCTACAATAGAAGAGTTGGTATTATGGATGAACACAAGTTTAATGTTAATTTGATGAAATTGAAGGTAAATTTGGTTTTAATTTGATGAGATAAAATATTAATGTGGTGTTAATTTGATAAAATTGAACATTAAGGAAATAAAATAAAGTGTTACTTTAGTGATACTAAATATTAATTTGATAAAATTGAATTTCAAATTAATAAAATTAAAGGTTATTTTGGTGTTGATTTGATGAAATTAAATTTTAATTTAAAGTTAAATTAATAAAATAATTTTAATTTGATAAAATTAAATGTTCAAGTGATGAAATTAAATTTTAGTGTTAAATTGATAAAATTGCATTTTAAACTAATGAAATTAAATACTAATATGGTTTTAATTTATTTAAAAAATGAATAATAATTGGATAATATTGAATGTTGATTTGATAAAATTAAATGTCAATTAAGCATTGATTTGAAAAAAATTGAACGTTAATATGATCTTAAACTAATATAATAATACTAATATTAATAAAATTGAAAGTTCATGTGATAAAATTAAAAGTCCATTGAGTGTGTTATTGATGAAATTAAATATTGATTTGATGTTAATTTAATAAAGTGATATTAATTTGATAATATTAGATTTTATTAATTATTTTAAATTTAATATTAAATTAATGAAATTAACTTTTAATTTGGTGTTATTGTTGAACATATATTAAATTGATAAAGTTGAATAATGACTTGGTGTTAATTTGATAAAATTAAATGGTAATTGGATGAACTTTAATGTTAACTTGATGAGTTTGAAAGTTAATTTTATGAAACATAGTGTTTATTTGATCAAATTTAATATCAATTTTCATGTTATTAATGAAATAGAATATCAAATTGGCATTAATTTTGGTGAAATTAATAGTTTATTTGAGAAAAATTGAATATTTATTTGATGAAATTGGAGGTCAATGTGGTATTAATTTGATTAAATCAAATATAATTTTTTTTAGTTAGACAAAATTGAATGACAATTAGGCTAATCCAATGTTAATTTTATGAAATTTTATGTTAATTTGACAAAATTTAATGTTAATTTTAAGAATTTGATGGTCACTTTTGTATTAATTTGATAAAATTGAATATTAATTAACCCTAGAAAGCGTGTTAGTGAATTAGGGTTTAGGGTTAATTGTGTGCGTTGGTTGATTTGCAGTGTTTGATTTAAATAGTATTATGCCTAATGTTTGAATAATGTGCTTGTAGGGTTTTGTATGCAATTATGGAGAATTGGAGGGCTAAAGTGCAAAGAAGAACAAAGAAGGAAGAACAAAGACAAGATGCAGTGACGTTGCACCATCTAGACGTTAGGAGGACCATCCCAATAGTGACCAAGGTCAACAAGTCAATAAGGGAGACTTCCATGCAAAAACTAGTGGATAAGTATCATTCGGATGGTGGTGGTGGTGGTTTTTGGATGGTGGTCTTAACCACCTCAACCCTAGCTCTTCTCCCATTGGTCAGATAATGAAATACTTCACCCCTATTGGCTCTTCTCCTCTAAATCGACTTGAGGTCCTTCATGAGGCCTATAATAGGCATGTTTGGTGAAGAATTTCATAAATCTTTTTCCAAGCCTTGGAGGGTAAACCTTTGGAGGAAAATCACACCACTTCTCCACACCGAAGTCAAATCTCTTCTTCTACATTTGTTGTTATTCTGTTTTACTTGGAGGGTTGAACCTCTCTCATTTTTCCACCCTAGTTCAGTAGTGAAAAGTGGAGGCATTTCAACTATTCCTTGGAGAATGACTCTTTTATATTTTGTTTTGTATTTACCTCACTAGGAGGGATGAGATGTTCAATGGTTTATTTTGTAAAAAATGGTTGTTGTTTCGTTTAGAGATGTTCAATAATTTTTTGGTCTTTTTCCGGTAAAAAAACTTTTACCCAACATGTTTTATTCGATGGATTTTTATCCAATTAAGTCTCTATAAAGGGACTAACTTCCATTTTTCCCAAAAATCAAAGCTAAGCCCATCGCCCAGCCCAAGTTTGGAGCGAAAAAGTTAGAGACTAAGGTAGTGTTTGTAATTGGTGGTTTTTGTTTTTTTTTTTTTCATTTTATGGTAAAAAATAAAAAATAAAAACATGTTTGGTGAATGTTTTTGCTTTGTTTTAATTACTCTATTTTGAAAACAAGGCTACAATATGAAAATATACAAAACGATGTTTTTGAAAACATCAAAAAAAAAAAAAGAACAAACGCATGATTGATAAAGGGATTTAATGAGGTTTTGGTTTCAATCCTCCTTAGCAACAACATATGAAGTTTTTTGCTTTGAGTATAAAAACTCAAATCTCTCTTTCTCTCTTTTTCACCCCTCTCAGTCGTTTCTTTGTTGGCTCTCTCTCTATCTCTAGATGCCAAAGGCTGAAGACGAAGAGAAGCCATCTCCATCGACATCGCCTCTCTCAGTTCTCTCTGTCTCTCGATGCCAAAGACGAAGCCGAATCCATCTCCGTCGCCCCTCTTAGTCGTCTCTCTTCTCTCTCTCTCTCTACCAAAGACGAAGTCGAAGCAGAAAAGGGGGGAAACATGTCATCGCCCCTCTCAATCATCTTCTTAAGTCCTAAATCTATATATATTGTTTGTATATATAGATGAGTGGTGGATTTTGGGGGATTGGGGTGGTGGATTTCGGTGGTGGGAGTGGGTTTTGGGGCGTGGGTTTTCAGGGATGAGGTTGGGTGGTGGTTTTCAGTGGTGATTTTTAGTGGCCAGTGGGGTGGTTGTGGTTGTGGTTCTCAATGGTGGAAATGGGTGGTGGGGTTAGGGATGGGTTTCAGTGGTGGGGTTGAATGGTGGTTTTAGGTGGTTAGTGGGCTTGAGTGGTGGGGTTTAGGTGATGAATTTTTGATATAATACTAAACAGATTTTTTATTTTTGTTTTCACAATTTTTGAAATATAAATAATTACCAAACATGTTTTAAATTTTTATTTTTTATCACAAAAAAACAAAACTTAGTTCTGTTTTTTTTTCATAAAAAAAAAAAACAAGAACGTTATCAAACACACTCGAAGTTGCAAATTTTTAGAAATTGGTAGCTTGACTTATGCTCATTATTTTGGACATAAATATCAGGTCCAACATCTAATTAAGATGAATCTTGACTTTTCGAAAAGGTAATTCCCAATTATACAACTCTATAATTTTGTCCTTATCTCCTTGACTTTCAAGTTTATCCCAATGGTTCCCCCCTTTCCTATAAATACGCCCTTGGCCTTAGAGCTTAACACACCTCTGTAGATTAATTTTCTCTCATTCAGCTCTCACCACTC